CTGGCCCCTGGCCACTTCCTCCCTCCAAACGTGAGGTTGTCCACTTTTCTGAGGGACAACATCACCACACTCAGCAGGGTTTTAGAGAGTTTGAAAGAGGCAGCAAACCTGGGCAGACAGAGGAAGCAACCAGGGTAGGAGGTGACTGGGTCCCTCAGGAGAGCCCTGACCCTGACCACTGTGGAAGTGGTAGACTATAGGCCTGGCATGGGAGTCAGCTCGGTTTGGATAAGGAGGAAGTGGGGTTAGGACAGGGAAGCATTCAGTATAGAGATTGGAGGGGTCAAATCACCGGGTCTCATGGAAGGAGATTCCAGAGCCGGACATGACAGCAGATGCTGGGACCCCTGGATGGGGAACAATCCCAGGAGTTGGAGTCATGCTGGCACGGGTATGTGGATTCAATATTGACTCAATATTCAATATTGAGTCAATATTGACTCTGGGGAGTCAATATTCCATCTTCTCCATCCCTTCAACTACAGATGAAGGTCCAAGAGAAGGGAAGTCACTCAAGGAGGCTGTGGTAACCCTCACAGGGCCACACCTAGTCTCCAGAGCCTTGTGGTTATGATTCTCACATACTAGGTAGCTATTAAGCACCTGCTGTATGCAGTCAGGCTCTGTGCTAGACAGGAGTTGCAACCCTGAGTCAAACAGACTGAGAGTCAACAAGACCTGCAGAAGGAGAGGGGAGCAGTCCTTTCTCCTGCCCACCTCTGGAAGCTTGGACTAGATTTTTACTTTCTGCGAGCCTCAGCTTTCCCTTCTAGGGTATGGGAATGACTGAGCCTGTGCTGCCACCTTCACAGGTGAGCAAACATCTCCTTGAGTCAGAACCTCAGGCAGTATGGGGGTTGTGCCAGGAGGACTCACAGAGATGGAGTGGGATGACCTACCAGGCTCAATGCAGAGTGAGCCAGGAGTGGGATGACCCCCCCCCCAGGCTCAGTGGGGAGTTAGCCAGACCAGCACTACCTAACTGCCTTGACCAGTACAGATAGTACCTGTAGGCTACACCCACAGCCACAGCTCAGAGGGGCAACCAGGGCCCTGCCTCCACCCTGCAACCTATCCTCTCTCACCAGCTGCCTTGGGTATCAAGGTGTAGTGTCAGAGAAGGGGCTATCTGAGTTGTTGGCTGGGGGTACTTGGGGAAGAGAGGGGCTGTGGATGGGCCCTAGGGAAAGAAAGAATCACTCCCTCACAGCCCTGGATGTGAGAGGCTTAAAAAGAGTGTTCCAAGTGAGTCAGTCATTGACTTACAGAAGTAGGGTGGGAAGGCAGCATCAGGAAGACCATCCAGGCAGCAGCTCCTGATTCAAGAGAGGGAAGCTGCAGCTGGGGCCAAGGCAGTGTTGAGAAGAGCTCTGCCTTTGAGGATGTCTTGAATCTAGAACCAGGAAGACTTACCAGTATGGAAATATGGGGTGGGCGCCCTGTGAAAGAGGGAAGACCCTGAGGGCCATTTCTCTGGAGATGGGGCCTGCTGGGAGAGGAGCAGTTGAGACTAAGGAATCAGTTTGATTTGAGACAAGTAGATGCCTTCAAATGGGCCAGAGTTGTGCAAGTGCAATTGGTTGGAAATAGACCTGGAGAAATTATATTTAGGGCTAAGAGGGCAGATGATTTACAGGGGGGTGGGGGTGGGGAGAGAAAGAGACAGAGACAGAGACAGAGGAGAGATCCAAACCTGAGCCTGGGGGCCTTCTATCCCTGCCAGGTCAGGGAGAGGAGGGGCCAGTGAAGGGACCGAGGACAAGGCAGTGACTTAGGAGCAGTGTGGGAGTTTCTGGAAGCTGGGGTCGTTCTAGTGGAGCTGAGTCACGAGCTGTAGGTGGGTCACGTCAAAGGTGCCTGAGAGTTGACCTCAGATTTAGCATAGGGAAAGTCGTGGGTAGCCTTGACCGGACTGGCTTCAGGAAGTGCAGAAATTAAGCCTGATTAGAGTAGTTCAAGAGCAAATGGAAGAGAAGGATTTGGAGGAAGCAGAGTTAAGTCACCTTCTGACAGAGTTTGATATAAATGAGGGGCAGAGAAATAGGGCAGTCACTAAGAGGGAAGTGGGGTCGAGAGCGAGAAGAGAGAGTTAACACAAGGGATGAGAAAAGAGAATGCCCCTGCTCCAGGAGAGTCTCTTGCTGGGGTACAGCTGAGAGTAGGAGCCAAGGACAGGAAGCTGGCCCTGACTGGGAGTGGCCAAGGCGGGCTGAGCCAAGGCTCAGTGTGGATTCCAGAGTCCTGTGATGGCTTCAGGGTCTCAGGGAAGGACATTCCCAGCCTGCAGCTGTGCTGGGGAGGGACACAGAGGGAGATGGCACAGGGCTGTTGCTAGGAGAGGGAGACCAGGCAACCATGGCAGGCAGGTAGACAGGCAGGGAGCTGGCCTCGGGGAGGCAGGTGTCACAAAAGGAAGGTGAGAACCCAGCTCTGCCAGCTGTGTGGGCAGAGGGAAGGGTGGGCAGCACCAGGGGGTTGGCAAGCACGTACAGGAAAAGGAAAGAGGGCTGGCCAAGTGGGAGGCTGGTGAGGCACAGCTGGGGGCCAGGGGGACTGCAAGGAGATAAAGGAGAGCTGGGGGCTGTCAAGTAGGCCAGAAACTGCCTCAAGGAAGAACAGGGGAGAGTCCCAAGATGGATGGGGGGTATACATCAGACCTTGGTCAAGACGGGCAATGGGTTGCTTGAAGCAGATAAATTCAGAGGCCTGAACGAGGAGAAAGGAAGAAATCAGTAAGCAGAGGGCTGTACCCCCACTAGGGGAGATGAATAGGTGCCTGCCCTCCCCATTAGGCTGAGGACCTTGAGTCTCAGAGGGTTTTAAGGAGGTATGCCCAGAGCAAAGAGGACCCTGGGTCCCCCCACCTCTGGGAAGCTCTTAGGGAAGGGAGAAGGGGAACAGTAAGAAGACCCTCGAAGGCTAAGTGTAGACCCAGCTAGCTGGGTCCTACTGCCATTGCCCTGCTGTGAGACTTGGCTGAACCCCATCCCCCACTTGCTGGAAGAAATGGGGACCGCTGCTCCCATGTTCTCAGATACCCCATCCTCCATCCTCCCCATATCTCACCTGGAATAGTGACTGGGGGTGGGGGCAGACCTGTGGGGCTGAGGTCCCCAGAGCAAGGAGAAGCCATGTCAGAAGCTAGGGTCCCACTTCTGTTTACCTGGCTGCCCAGGAGACTGGGAGGGGCCTTCCAAGAAGATAGAACCTTGCATTTAAAGGGGCCCCACCTGGAAGTGGGCTGGGGCTGGGTGCAGGTTTCAGGAGGGTCAGCAGACACCTGCATACCTTGTCTAGGCTTAGGTCAGTCCGGTATCTATAGGCCAACCTGTGCCCACAGAGCTGCTGAGAATGTGATTCTCTTGGGCTGGCTACCTTGACCTTCGGCACCCCAGGAACATTTTCAGACCCCATGAGTGCCCAGTCAGCAGCTCTGGTCTTCAGCAACTCTTAATAGAGTTCGGACTTGGGCCAGACTAGGGCCATGGTCTCGGGGAGCCTCTGCAGACTTGGGTCTCCCCAGTGGACAAGGCTCCAGTGGAGGGATCAGAGGCATGGGGCACAGAAACCCTGGAGGGGGTGCTGCAGACAGCAGGGCTCCCTGAAGCCAAGAGCACTGAGCTCTGTGGGGCAGCCCCAGAGTGGTGCGGCCTCAGGCATGCAGGGGCCCAGGAATTAGCCACAACCTCTGAAAGCAGCTTGGAGGTATTGCTTCCCCCACATACGGGCAGGCTGCAAGTGGGCCCAGTGACCAGGACATCCACAGGCAGGTCAGTGTCCATGCTTGTAGCTGGGCCTGAGGGCTGCAGGAGAGAAGACCCAGCCTCTAGCCATCACGTGAGCAAGCTCATTTCCCAGAGCTGTTTGTCACACAGCCACACTGACTGATACAACAGCATTGTGGGAGAGCAACCAGATATCTGCACCCCCACACACACCTCTATGCAGGAGTCCCCCTACTCGGTAGGGCAAGCCCATCCTCTCCAGGACCACTTCGTCTCCTCCACGCCAAACAGTCATAGCCCACCTCCCACCACCTTCAGCCAGGCTGGGCACAGGAGGGACCTGAACAGGTTGGACTTTGAATGAGACCCTTGCTCACTGGAGCTGAGTCACCACGTCACTCTCTAAGCCTCAGTTTCCCCATCTGTAAAGTAGAGCTAGAAACAGACTACCTGTGGTTAACCAAGAAAGCAGACAACGTGAGGGGGGCAAAGCCCCTGTGATATTCCCCCCACTCTTAGAGGGCTGGCGTCCTGGCCACCCGGGACATTCAACCCAACAAATGCCTGCACACAAATGCTTACACCCACCGTGATACATGGGCACCACAGCTGCACATCTGCCTCGTGCCCACTGGCTAGCAGTCCCTGGCCCTCCCTAGCCCTGGCAACCACATCTACTTCTGTTTGCTGACTTTAGAGTCATTGTAGAAACAAGGCATGACCAGGTGTACTTGTCCGCCCTGGCAGCTCCTTTCGCTTGACTCGGTGTCTTTGGGGGCAGTCACATATCCAGGGCATCGGCTTTCCTCCTTGTTAAAGGCTGGGTAATATTCCACAGGGGTCTAGTCCTGTGCCCCCACCCATTCAGCCGTAGACGGATGCAGACTGCCCTACGCCCCACCTTGTGGCTGCTGAAGCAGAATGAAACCTCGGGATCCCAATGTCGACGCTTCCGAACTCACGCCAGAAGGGGGATTACTGAATCGTATGACCATTCTGTTTTCACTTTTCTGAGGAGCCTACACGCCGTTTTCTGTGCTCGGTTCACTGTCACTCCCCCTCCCACGAGGCACAAGCGTTCCCCTCCCCCACTGCCTCCAATCCTGCATTTTCTGACAGTCTGTCCCAACAGGTGAGGCCTGTGGCCCACAGAGACTGCGCAGGATGATTGAGCCGGTGGTGGAGGCCCCTGTTTATGGACCCGGAGGTCAGGTGTCGCCTTCTAGGTGACTTCGCTCTGCTGTGGCTTCTTTGACCTTTTAGCTGTTAACCTCCCCGTGGGAGGCCGCCTTTCCGCATCACCGTCTCCTGTGCGACATGGCAGCCTTTTGCTTGGACCTGGTCTCCCATGGCTGTTTCTTCCTTTTCACCTGTGCCCTTGGTCTCCGTACTGAATCACCATGGAGACGAAGGTCAAGCCACCTGCCTACCCACCCCCACCCCCCGTGTTTTCTTCTAAATGTTTTCGCAATTCCCAGTCTGAGGCTAAAGACTTTCCCCGGGGTGTTGGTCGGTCAAAAGGGCCGTGTTTTCCCTGGAGGGGGAGGGGTGAGGGCACAGGTGCATGTCTGGCCCTTCCATTAACAACACAGTTCCTCCATCCGCCTCCTACCTTTCCTTAGGAAGGGGGCCTATTCTGGGGGGTGGTGCTGCAGAAAGTCTGCAAGACAGGGCTGAGGAAGCATAGAAGGGCAGGCCCGGAACAGGCACATGGAGGAGCCAGTATCCAAACGGAACTGTGCTAGTGGGACCCCGGGTGCAAGCACGCCAGGGTCCACCCTCAGGAGGTAGGATGCCAGGCTCCTAGCCTGCAGCACCCATTCTGCTGGTCTTGGGCTGGAGGAGGGCAGGTCACTTCAGGGTCTCCAAGGCTGGATGTCAGGCTTGGGGAAGTCTCATATACTCACCTCACACCACCCTACCGCATCGCAGCCCTCACACAAAGTCCTATCTGTGATGGTATCACCACCTGCTGGCTGCATGGATGAACTGGGAAGCCAGGTAGGTAAGACCCTGAGGCAGGGTGGGGAGGAATCAGCCCACCAAGACAGGCCGGTATCCAGAGGAGGGGTGCCAGATGGGTACAGGGCCTCATCCTCACCCCAGACTTGTTTAGAGGCCTGAGTTTGCATTGTGATTCTGCCACTGACTGCTGTGTGACCTTGGCCAATTGATGGCCCTCTCTGAATTTCATCCCAAACCAGAACAGAGGGCACATTTGGCCTTTGGATGACATGAGGAAGAAGTGATACCAGCAGACATCTGTGTCTGGCAGAACTTGGAGCTCACGGGCAGACCCACGCAAGCATGTGCAGTCAGGATCACTGTGGCCCAGGCACCTGCCATTCTAGATGCAATGAGGAGGGAAGAAGACGGACAGGGTCTCAGCAGAGTTCCTTGACCGTGACCTTTGCCCTGTTCAAGGCTGAAACCACGGCAAGCTCCTGGCCTGGGTCCAGCCTCCCTGGATCACCACAGCAGGGCAGACTTGCTGGAAACTTGACTTTAAAGCATGCTTTTCTTTTCATTTAGTTTTTTTCTGAGACAGGACTGCGTGCATCCCATTCTGATCTCCAGCTTGCCACGTAGCTGAAGATGACCTTAAACTCCTGATCTGCATGCTCCACCATGCCTGGTTTATGTCACGCTGAGGACCAAACCCAGGGCTTAGTACATCCAGAGCCACTGTTACAGCTTTCCACCCTCATAGGTACAGCAGAGAGGCATGGCACCAGCAGTCAAAGACAGTGACCGTCACAAAAAATGAGGAAGAGAAGGGTATGGGGAGTTAAGATAATGTTCACACTTTCAGTGGCTTTATTTAGCAACTAACACTTGACATTCCTGAAAATTTAGGAATCATTCCAGAAGCCCGTTGGACTGGCTGTACCCTGGCCTGGTGTACCCTGGCCAAGACTACCAAACACAGTGGTTGCTGGGATTGGTGGAGGGTGGTTATGAACTGGGGGACGGAGGTCTATGAAGCACTTCACACACAAGTGGCAGCACCAGGCACACTATGACTTTTCCCACTAATGATTGGATGTTAGCACACAAGAAGACGGCAGGAGATTGAGGGTCTCCAACAAACTGGGGGCCCCAGCCCTGCTGCTGGGTCAGCACACGGCCTCAGGGCTCACCAAAAGCAGGGCCCTGTTGCTCTCTGTTCTGGGCTCTGGAAAGCCAAGATCAAGGTGTTGGCCAACTCCAAGTCTGATGAGGATCTCTTACTGGTTGCAGGCAGCATCTTCTTGGGGGTGTCCCTGCATGGTGGGAGGAGGGGCTGGTGCCCCTCAGGCTCATTCACAGAGCACCAGTTCCAGTCTTTCCTCCTGGGCTAGAGCAGTCATGAGGACTGAAGGTCAAAGTAAAGGCTTTCCAGCAGAGGCAGACGCTGGAGCAAAGTTGATCCGTCCTCAGCAGTGGAAAGGACAGGCCCATAGCATCCAGGCGTTGCTTAGCCTGCTTGTCTCTATGAACATCACCCACACAGTCTCCTATGTTGTCCAGGTTGGATTCGGCTCTGCTGGCACCAGGCACACAGCAGGTCACCCCGGACTTTTCTCTCTGCCTTCCTCAGGGTACCCAGGCCCCTGGTGCTTCTCTCACCTGTCCTTCCACAGGAACAGACCTCTAGCTGCCATGCTGCCCACACACAGACCCTCAGTGCTTCCAAGATCCCCACCCTGCCAGACAGCTGCACCCCCTTCTCTCATGGCCTGCCTGACTGCCTGCTCGGCATCCTACACTTTGGGGTGAGGGTGAGTCCTAGGAACCTTGATGCTGAGGTTCCATCTCCTGACACTCAGCCCCGTCGGCCAAGCCTGGCACTCACCATCCCTTGCGGTTACAGCACCGGGCTGGGGCTGTGGCCGCGTGGCTTGACCACCATTTGGTGCTGGAATCAAGGTGTCTCCAGTCTGTCAGGCACTCTGAGCGCGGTCTTCTCATTGACCCTCAGCGCAGCCCAAGCTGGGTGGCTGTGCTCCCATTGTACAGATGGAAGACTGAGGCACAGAAAGAATGAATAACTGATGCTGGGCTACAAGGTCAGTGTAGGATAGGCTGCATGTGATATGGAGCAACTTACTCTACCCTCCACCCAGAGCCTCAGACTGGCCTGACTCCAAGGACCCCAACACTGAGAGGGCCCTGAGAGGATCCTGGGAGTCTGTACAGCGAGACTGGAGGAGGAGGGCACAGCTCCTTGCATGCTCGGCTGGCGTCCTCAAGGGAAGTCACAGCCCCAGCCTGGGGCCTGCCATCACCACAGAAACCTGTCTAGCAGGAGGTCCCACTGATCCATGAGTCACAGACCTTGGCTGAGGCCCAGAGAACCATGGGATGGACATAAGGCCTCACTGGAACACTGGTCCTGAGCCCATGTGTGGACCATAGCACCCGCCCACTGTCCCCGGACAGTACTGACTCCTCAACACTGTCCCTGGAAGGGTGCTGTAGACACTGGAGCCATTGTGACCTCAGGGTGAGGTCAGGGCTGGCCAGGGCAGCAGGGGAGGGACAGGGCCCAGACAGAGTTAGTCTACTAGTGAGGACAGGGCTGGCGACTGGATCTGTTGGTCTCCCGCCCTGCACCCCAATATGGATGGGCAGCATCCTGACAGGCCACACAACTGCAGCTCAAGCGATGGAGCCTCATCAGCCGTGTCCCACAACCCCAGGTCAGCTCAGTCCTGGGAAATGGGAAAGCAGGGGGCCACCTGGCCCCAGGCAGCCCAGCTTCTCCATCGTCCAGGAAAGCCTCCTCCAGGGCAGCCAGGACCACCCAAGTATTCAGCCCTGGCTGCCCAGCACAGGGTCCCACAACCAGGAGCAGTCCAGAATGGACTTGGGTCTGATCCCATGATGTTGCTGCCCTTGGTGTGATGGGAAGGAGGAGGAGGCCAGAAGGGAGGGAAGGGCTCGACCACAGGTTCTGTCTTCACCATGAGGGGAGGGGACAGCAGCCCCTGCTCCTAAGGACCAGAGATGTGGACAGGCCAGGGTCACAACAGGCTGTGAGAGTGACAGTGTGGACTGCTGGAAAGATGGAGGAGCAGCTGCCTCCCGCTTCTGCAGCAGCGTCTTCAGGGCAGAGTGGAGAGCTGGCAGCAGCCTGTGTCCTTGCAGACATGACCATGAGGAAAGGGAAGTAGTGTGTTGTTCAGTCATTACACAACCATGTACACTACACACATATACACACATACACACAAATACACACAAATACACAGCACACACATAAACACACTACACACATATACACTACACACATATATACACACATACACACTACATAAAAATACACACCACACACATATACATGCTACACACACAAACACGCTACACACATACTACACAGCTACACACTATACACGTACACACACATGCACACATTACACACAAATACACACTACACATATACACATTATACACATATCTACATCTACACACATACACATATACACACACCACACATATACACTACACACATACATTACACACTATGCATACACATTACACACACACACTACACAGACATATATACTACACAGGCATATATACACACATGCATGCACTACACACACATATGCACACATTGCATACATGCATGATACACATAAACACACTATACACACATATATGCTACACACGACCTGTACATATACACACATGCACACATACATGCATGATACACATAAATACACCACACATATATGCTACACATGACCTTCACATATATGCACATGTTACATGCACACATGATTCACATGAACACAACATACGCATACACAGGCATACACACGGACAGATGAGGTGCCCACAAGGTGGCTTGGCCCCCAGGAACAGCCTTGGCCCACCCCCCATATGCTGTTTGAACTGACCACCTCATCTGTCACTCCCCTCCCCTGCCGCAGGGTCCCCATATCCTGGCCCAGCCCACAGTGCCCATTGCTCCCTTACCGGCTCACTGCCCCTGCGCCCCACTCCATCACAGTGTGAGCCCCACAAGGGAGAGGAAGTTGAGAGTCACGGTCTCTGAAGGGCCTTAGACAGGGCACAGGGCACAGCTCCCAGATGCTGAAGGGACTGGGTTAGGGGAAGGGCTGGTTCTTCTCAGCCCCATGAGGCCTGAAGGCCTTAGTCACTCTGTGCTGTGGCAGTGCACCGCAGACTGGACAGCTCCCAACACACCTACCTCCCACAGTTCCACAGCAGAAGTTCAAGGTGTGGCAACTCTCAGTGAGTCCCACTTCCTGGCTCACTGACAGCCACCCTCTAACTGGGAGATCACATGAGAAGACAGAGCCAGTTCCCTGGAGCTTCCTCCTATGGGGACACTAACCCTATGCTGGGGCCCCAATCTCTGGATCCCACCTAACCCCAATCACTCCTATGGTCTATCTTCCAAGGCCACATGGGGTGCTGAGGCTTCCATCTGTGCCCTGAGAGGGGACACAGGTCAGGCCACAGCAGGGTCTGCAGCCTGCCCACTGCCAGGACCTCCCCTCAGCCAGATGGGTGCTCCTCTCTGCCCCCAGAACTACATGGGTTTTCTCCAGCTTGACCCCAGAACCAGGGAGGTAATCCTACCATGGTGCCCTGTCAAGTCCAGAGGGGACAGCGGGAGGCATGCAAGCCCTAAGGGTTCACTGGAGGGCCCCTGGTCAGCATGCTAGAGGGGTAAAAGTTTGAATGGTGGGCAGGACTCTTTCAGGGCTCTACCCAAAGGCCCAGAGAGCCTAGGGTGGCCTTGAAGTCAAGGAACTCTGCTGCCTCTGATCAGGCACCGTCCTGTCAGGACACTGCTGGGAAGGAGCAACTAAGGACCCTCCAGTGGGGAGACGATCCCCTCAGTAGGGTAACAACATCAGCATACCCAGTTACAAGCTGAAAACCATGGGTGGAGGGAATAGTGGGAGGTGGGAATATAGAGTGGGTCAGGCTGAATTTCAGACCAGTTCATCTAAGCAAGACTTAAAATAAGTGGGGGATGAGGCAAGCAGTGATGGGAGAATGCCGCCCGGGCAGAAGGGACGGGCAGGTGCAGATCCTCTGAGTGTGCCTGGAGGTTTGAGGACCAACTAAGCTCCCTGGACTGGGGCGCAGCAAACAGGAGGCAGAGGCAGTGGGATCGGAGAGGGGGGGATGCTTTCTGCTCTCTGCATCTCTATTTCCTCTCCCAGGACAGTCTGATTTGCATATAATAAAATCCACCTTTATGGTGCATGGCCATAAGGCCATCAGAGTCTTAGAGACTCCTGGGAACTTGCTCATATGAACTTAACAGCAATGGCGACACCGTGCACAAGACGCACGCAAACTCAATCAGACAAAAACCAGCATAGAGCTGGGGAAGTGTGCAGGAGGCCCCAACCTTAGCTGAGGTTCTATTGACAGCTGATCACTGCTGGGGGAAGGAGAGTTGGTCTTCTTTAAGGAAGTGATGCTAGACAGGCTGAACAGGCTCCAGTGGGTGAATTCACACCGAGAGACATCTGGACTGGATAGGCTTTAACATATAAAACAGAATGCGTGAAATCCTGTGGGTGGACTATGGAGGGGG